TATATATATATATATATATATATATATATATATATATTCTTGTTGTGATAAGTAATAAAAACTTTTTTTATTTGAAAATGCAAGAACACTCGAAATAAGTTAAAATACTAGTTCATTGGGAAATCAATCAAGAAAACAATACTAAATCAAGCAATAATTGGATTTAATTAGGCTTGAAGTTAAATAAAAAGGTACTATTATAATTTATAAATATATAAAAAACCAATTTAAGAATGTTTTGACCATATGTTCTCAATCAATCTTTATATGTATGTATGTAAAGATGGAGAAATATGCTTGGAGGGAAACCCCCAAGTAAAACAGAGAAATATGTTTTTCCTGTGAGGGAAAGAACATAAAAGGGAAAAAAAATCATGAACAATATAAATTCAAGAACTGAAAAATAATTAGCTTAATTGCGTTTTTGATCTCTCAAGTATTGTAATTGTGCAATTTTGATCCCTAAAGTTTTAATTGGGTAATTTTAGTTCCTAAAAGATTGTAATTATGTGATTTTAGTCCCTTAATTTTTAATTGAATAGTTTTAGTCCCTAAACTATTATAATTGTGCGATTTTAGTCTTTTCATTCAAAATTTAGTAATTTTAGAATATATATATATATATATATATGCGCCGGGCGTGAGTGTGTTTAATGCTGTTAATTGTGAATGATGCTTATGCATGTTTAAAGTTGAAGATTTGATCATGTATGTATGATATATGATGTATGGTGGTGTATGATTCATATGTATGCTTGCTAATGGTATGTATGAATGTTTAAATATGATATGACATGAATATATGTTCATATGAGTATTATTATTGATCATGATGGTGGATTGACCATGTATGATGTATGATGCATTATTACATGTGATGCCTTATGGCATGTGTCTAGCTTAGGACTTGAGGAGAGGGAAAATGTTTTCGAACTGGAAGAGCTCACATAGAGTCTCTTAAGAGTGGTGCTTGGATAGGCTACTGATATAAATGAGAGTGGTGCTTAGATAGGGCACTTTGGGGTGAGAGTGGTGCTTGGATGGGCCACTGGTTTGGGTGAGTCTCCTCTAAGTCCTTAGCTAGTGTTGGAGCTGGGTATGAGGTTGAGGATTATTCCCTTAACCAAGTACTAGGAAAGGTACGTGGTTCCTTATGGATAGTCGGTGGGCGAACTCCACAAGTGACTTGGTAATGCATGCCAAGGTCGTGGTACGCCTGTATCCAGTTGTGCTATACCTGACGATGAAATCGGACTTCTAAGTGTGTAAGTGACATCATTCAAGTAAACCCGAGTAAGAATTTATATCTTGTTTAGCTGTGACCGAGCGGGCGCATTGGGCGTGAAAACAGTTGGGGTGGTTTTAGTAGGATTGAGATGTCACTTACATTGCTCTGCTGTTAGGGAGATCTCCTAGGTGTATGCATGACGACGCATTAGATGATAGATATGCATTTGATATCTTTCATGTGTTGCTTAATTGCATGATTGTTGTTATGATGAAGTGTATGGTGTTTGACTTCATGATTTGATGATTTGATAGTTGAGTAGCATAGATATTTATTATTATGTTTGTATGGTTGTTTATTGAACTCTAGCTTACCTTTCTGTTTCCATGTTGATGGACTGCAATGATCATACTGTGTATGGAAGTAGGTCAGGGTTAGGTTGGAGCTGGTTGCTGTGATCGCTGCGAGACGGAGAATTTTGTCCTCGTGTTAGAATTACCATTTTGGATAACTGTTTTGTTGTGCTTGACTGGTATTAGAGTTATGTTATTTGGATGACTATACATATTTAGTGTTGTATTTTGTACATAGAAACACAGTTTTATTATTATATATAAATATATCTGTATGTATGAGTTATCCAATTTTAATATTTCTCTTAGTTCAATAGTAGTAGTGCAATTCCACTAAGTGTAGAGACTTTAGCGGGTCGTTACAATTATTATAATTATATATAGAATATAATGTTGAATACAATTTTTATATCTAATATATATGATAATATTTTATATTTTACTATATACGTAAATGATATAATATATTGTTATATTATATACATATTATATTAAATTATATATCTTTTTATAAAGAGGTATGACTTAGTAATCACTTTTTTCGTTTTTACCTTTTAATCAGATAGTTTTACTGCTAAATTTATAATTGTCGCCCCTGGTAATGAAAAAAAAATAAATAATAGGTTATCTATTTTAAAATTTTAATATTTTTAATATTTATTTTTTTAAAAAAATTCTTCAAAAATAAATATATAAAAATACAAAATGTCCTTCTCCTATTTATAAATTATTATAGGTCCTTATATAAACATAAATCTCTATCTTGTATAAGATTATTTTTAGATTTTTTAATAAAATAATTTTTTAGAGATTTTTTTTTAATTTTTAATCTAATTTGATTTTCTTATTATAATTATTTATAAATTAAATTTTAATATTTTTAAAATAAACTATTAATAAATAAAAATAATACTATACTATAATATAAATTGTTTATTATAAATTCAAATATAATTTATATATTTTAAAATATAAATTATACTTTAAATTTATGATAAATAATTTATATTATAACATAATATTTTTTATTTATAGATAATTTATTTTAAAAATATTAAAATTTAATTTATATGTATTTATGATAAAAAAAAAATTAGTTAAAAATTATGAAAATTTCTAAAAATTATCTCGTGAAAGAAAAATATCTAAAAATACTTTTGAAAAATAAAATTCTAGGAGTTGATTATTGTAATGTAGTGAGTAGATTTCAGAGTTTAGTTGACTCTAGAAATGAGAGTATATAAGAGTTTCTCTGAGAAGGGAACTTCATAAGTTCATTCTCAAAGAAACTTAGAGAGAAGTTTTAGAAAGAAGGACTCTGGGTCCGTGAGCTCCTCTCTCTCTCAAATTTCTCTGTTTGATTCTTCTTCTTCTCTAGATCACTAACTCCTTCTGTCTTCTCTTGGAATTCAGGTTAGAAAGCTTACTTTTAGAGGATTGAAGTCCACGGATCGAGCTTTGGAGGGTTTTCTTCTTCTACTCTGTTCTTGCCTATTTTGAGCCAATTTTTCACGCGAGGGAAGCTAGAATGTAGGTTGTTTGGTTGCATGTGAGTTTAAGAACTCAATTGATGCATGAATTTTGAGAATCAAGGGTTGAATTGAAATATTGCTCATTTTTCAGGGTTTTGGGAAAAATGAGATTTTTAGTGATTTTGATGCATCGGATGGATGCATGTTGAATTAGAGTTTGTTTTCTATTTGTATGGAGTCTATGTGTTGCATTTCTTGGATTGCATGTGATGGAAATCTTCTGATTTTCAAGTTTTGATGAAATTTTCAAAGTTTGGGAGGTTGTTGTTTGAATCTGCATTGGGTGCAAG